CCCTTCCAACCCCTACAATTCTGTGATTAGCATTTTTGCCCAGCTAACTCCCAGTTAGCTTTTCAGCTTCACTTCAAATTCTAGCAGTATTTATTGACATGTTACAGCTTAATTATTATTTTATGCTTTGTTTTCTACATGGTTACAGGTGAAGGTGCTAGCACTTAAAACCATGTATTGCACTCTTATGCAAGTTTTTCAGTTCCTTAGTATAGTTTTGATCATCTAAAAAACAAAACCCACCAAAAACCTGAGGAACAGCCTACTGGGATAGGATATATCTTTTTAGTACAAACAACTAAATGAAATTTTTACCATTATAATTTTTGTAATGCTGAAGATCAAAGCTAAATCATATACCTTTTATTAGCAGTTATGTGAGTTGTACCAGTGGGGAGAAACTAAACTTAAGTAATTTTTCAGTGTCACTACCTCAGCTATATTGTTTTTTTATTGCTTCTTTAAATGAAAAAGGAACTCTGTCACAGAAGCAACATCAGTATACAATGAAGAAATACTAATTTAACCTTTTGTGTTCTTTCAGACAACTGAACCTTAAAAAAGTTCTTGTTAATGGGGGATATTTGGAATATAAGGTAGATACCCAACATCTTAAAGAAAATGGGGGTCAGAAGATTTGCGTTCTAGCACTGGATGAAGCTGGAAGAGTAAGTTGTGTCCCTAGAAATCATAATTATATAACGAGCTGCATCCTCTTTGATCAAACTTTAAACATCAGAAGTTGACAGGACAGAATTGTGCATAGAAAATACCCAATTCATTTCTGTAGAACTGCCAGTGATATTTTTTTTAAAGGGCTATGAGAAAACTACCAAAGTAATGTACAGTCGTTAATTTTTAAATCTGTGAACATCTAATGGCCTTTCAGTGAAGATGCATACTCCTTTACTTTTGCATACATAAGTGGTTATATAGAGTACAGAGTCTGTGTGCTTTTGGTGGTGTGGTTTTTTTTTTTTCTTTTTCTTTTTCTTTCCCCTCATCTCTCCTCTCATCTCACCTACCCAGTCACCTTTACACCCTCCAGAAATAGTCTCAGAAGTAGTCCCTAGACTTCAAGTTTTAGAGCCTTTGCTAAAAAGCAGCTGTTCCGTAGATGGGATGTCCCTTTTATTCTTGAAAAGTGGCAGCTAAACCTGGTGAATGGCTAAGTATATATAGATAAGTGTAGACACCATGTTGACTTAGAACTGGAATACTATTGTGTATTTATTGTTTACTTCCCTCATTCTTTCAAAGGGTAGCAGTTTATAGGACCCTTCGAAACCTCAGTCTTTTCTAGGTCTGCTTACTGAGAGACCTAAACCATCAGTGCCATCTAGTGGTGTGTACAGAAAGGTTTTGTTACTGAAATGCTGTCTTCTTAATGTTAAAAACTGAGCTTGGATATCAAAATAGGGAGCAGTGTGGGTATTCCCTTTTCTTTCCTTGCATTTGATTGAATTATGTATTGGGATGTTCTTATCTGTTTATTAGGTCATTAGTTATCTCAGAGATTATAAACTTCCAGTTCATATGAGATTTAGCTTCTAGCATCTGTAGTATTGGAATTGCCCCTTCAACATCTTTGGGACACTGCTTTAGCAGTAAGGAACTACTTTGTCTTCCTGCATCAGTGGCACTGTCAACCTACATTTCGTATCTTTCCACGCTGAATACTGGCAAATGCTGGGATTTTTAGTGCTTTTAGGCATTATAAATAATTAAGGAGAGAGATGGCATCTTAATACTTCTGTTTCTTGAACTTCCTTGTGTGGCTTGGTTGTACCTTCTCAGAGGGAGTACTGTTTAGTCTAGAAAAGAGAAGGCTCAAGGGAAATCTTATGAGTGTGTATACATACTTGAAAGGAGGATGCAAAGAAGAGAGAGCCAGACTTTTCAGTGGTGCACAGTGACAGAACCAGAGGCAGTGGGCACAGACTGAAACAGAGGAGGCTCTGCCTGAATATCAAGAAACACTTTTTCACTGTGAGGGTGACTGAGCACTGGTACCTGTTGCCTGTGGAGGTTGTAGAGTCTCCATCCTTAGAGATATTCAAAAGCTGTCTGGATGTTGTCCTGGGCAACTGACTCTGGGTGGCCCTGCTTGAGCAGGGGATTGCACTAGATAACCTCCAGAAGTCCCTTCCAACCTCAACCATTCTGTGATTCTTTAGGGCACAATAGAGGGGAGAGAAAATAGGTTACTCAGGTTTGTTTGTCCCCTCCTTATGTAGGTGTTAAGAGACTGTGCAGGTCTGTTAACAGAAGCCTGACTTTAGCACCACTAATGCCACATCTGGGTTTTACCTTGCATGACGTTGTTGCTTCATGCTCGCTTCTTTCAGGCATTTACAGTTGGGGTCCTTCTGTGCATGCAGTTCTTCACATTTCTGTTGAATGATTTGAAGTTTGTGTGTGGTCATGCTCTCCATTCCAAAACCTTGGCTGGTACAGAGAAACTTTAAATTTTTGTCAAGCAATTAATAGGAATTTTTTTTAATTTTTGGTGTGCTAGCTTTTGATTTTGCCTGCTTCATAAGCAAATCAGTTGGACAAATCTGTAAATTAAGAACTAGATTAAACTTGTTTCTTGACTTGACGACACCTTTTACTGTCCTTGTTGAAACGTCAGTAAAAACTAACCTATAGATGACTGCTGTGAAGATGTTTGAATATTCAAAGAAGCTTTTCAAATACCCTTCATAGGCAAATGGATCTTGATGTGATAATAGATTTTTCCTGTCTTACTTGTGAGTTCTTTGTAATAGAACACTTCAGGATATAACTTTGAAGAATGTCTTTCTCCTTTTATATGCAACTTTGAGATGGCATGTTCTTGTGTTTAATAAAGTCATGTGTAGTATGTAACTCCTTTTGTATGACTTGAAGATTTCCTCTTTCTCTGAAAAATTATTATAGGTGTTTTGCTGGAAGTCATCGAACAACTCCATGAAGCAGTGTCGTTGGGTGTATGGCCGGCAAGTCTTCATGTCTGATGTTGCTTTGAATAGGAATGAAATAATGTTTGTCACACAGGATGGTGAAGCCTTTACAGGGAAGTGGCTGGAGGAAGGGAAAAAAGCCTCAGAGAAGAAAGGTTAGCTGTGATTTCTTAATGGTTTTTAAATATTTCAAATCAATATAAAAGTTTAATAAAAATCTTTAACCGTCTCTAACAGTATTATGTGGTGAGTTCGTTCTATCCTCTGTGGTTTACTGTTGGTAGCATTGGCCACTACTATTCTTTTTCCTCAGAAATACTAAGATTTACTTACTTTGCAGCCTTCAGTTAACCTTCAGATGGAGCTTTCCAGGAAAAGTCCTTCTGAAGAGTAATAGTAGCACAATGGTCCAGCATAATTATTGTGTCACATATGAGATGACCAGTCCTAAGAGACTGGCATTGAACAAAAGAAGGAGCACGTACCCTTACCTGAGCATAACTCAGGGTCCAGAGCAATTTCTGCCCTACTAACATGTCTCATATTGCTGCAAGTTGTCCTGATGGATTGTTTTGTTGCAGGGAAGATACCTGCTATAGTCTACTATAGAATGAGATTTTAATTGAAACTGTCAGCTCTGTTTCTGTCGGGGTCTTAAAACTCTGTGGATAGAAATGAATTTACTTCCAACCTGGAATGTGTTTGAACTTTATAGCTTTATGTTGCAGTTCTTCTTCCTCTGATACTGAGATTCCATCTTTAGTTTTATCAGTCCATTTTTGCATTCTTTCACAGCAAAAATCTTTCCTCTGTTGCTCAATCGAGAGTTCCATGCTAGTTTTACTCTGTTGCTACTTTCTTTTATTCTACACATCACATAGTAGTTTTGTCATTACTGAGGCACCAAACACAGCTCCTTTTCACTGTGTTTGTCCTGGTGCTGGTATGTGCCTGTAGGCACTCTCGTTATGCTTATTGCTGTTCTTTTTGTAGTTTTAGTATCTTCGAGGAAATTTCAGAGTCCAGACCTGTTGACTAGTTGAATGTCTAGTTGATGTTCGTCACTGGTTTGTAACGAATGAGAGATTCTGCTTTGTTTTGGGTTTTTTTTTTTAATGTTTTAATGAATGTAGCAAATGGTGTGCATGTATTCAGTTATCCAGTTCTTGAAAAATTATCCAGTATTCAGAGAATATAATGTTTTTTCAATAGTATTTTGTTAGTTTGTGTGTAATTCAAACAGATAAAATATGAAATCTGAAGGCAATTGTATTTTATCTGCTGTAACTGATATGACAAAAAAAGAAAGCAATCTTGCACTGCTGTACTCTGCACAGCTTGTTCCACTACAAAAGAGGTTGCGTTGAATGTTAGATGGGGTGTTTTCCCTTACATGAAGAAGTGGCAAAACACTTCCACGGGAAGTTCTGGATATAAACTGTCCTGTATGTAAAGTCTTATTCTTAAGATGGCTTCCCACATTTCAGTTAAGTGGGCTGAAATCTTTAGCATAATTTAGCCTTACTCAGTGACTCCATTAATGGACTTACAGAAGTTGTAAATCTTGCCTTTTTGTTATAATTAGCTAGACCTTTCTGTGGCTTTTTTCAATTTTTTTGGTTTTTTTTTTAGCAGAAGTTGTATCGAGCCTTCAGAATTCTTCATGTGACGCATCTTGTGAATATGATACAAACAGCGTGTATGAAAGAATTAGACTTCAGAAGCTTACTTTTGCCCACCGAGCTGTTAGCATTGCCACCGATCCTAATGGCTGTAATTTTGCTGTTTTACAGTCAGATCCTAAAACAAGGTATATTTAAAATATCAACAACTGCATTTTTGTGTGTGTGATTGCAATTAAATCATTCTGCTTTTCAAAACCATTTTTGGCTCGTAGAGAAGTCAAAGTAAATGTGGTTTTCCATAGTGCTAGGGAATAACTCTTGTTAGTAAACAACGGTGTTGAAATTATCCAAAGACCTCAGCTTATGTATTTGCATAATTAGTATAGATAGTGTTGATGTTTTATCTGAAGTATTTAAGGCAAGCATTTGCATGTATTTTTTTTAACACACTCGGAGCTCTAAATACTGTAGAAATTAACCTCTTCAGTAATCATCAATAATCTGTTTTTAAATAAAAGTGAAAATTGAATCTTAATTTGTATGGAAAAAATATTTAAAGTAAAATGAGTAAGTAGAATTCTGAACGATGTTTCTTGCACTATGATTCCAATATATCTGATAAATGAATAAATAATATCTTTTTTTCCTTATTACTTTAGATGTTAATATGAAATACAGCGAACGTTTCACAGAATGGTAGGGGTCTGAAGGGACCTCAGGAGATCATCTAGTCCAGCCCCCCTGCCAAAGCAGGTTCACCTAGAGCAGCTTGCACAGGATCATGACCAGGCGGGTTTGAGTATCCTCAGAGAAGGAGACTTCACAACCTCTCTGGGCAGCCTATTCCAGTGCTCTGACACCTTTAAAGTAAAGAAGTCTTCCTCAAGGCTTAGACAGGTGCACTCTTTGCTGGGTAAAAAACGGGCTGCATGGCCGAGCCCAGAGAGTTGTGGTGAACAGAGCTAAATCCACCTGGTGGCCACCAGTCACAAGTGGTGTTCCCCAGGAATAAGTTTTGGGGCCAGCCATATCTTTATCAATGATCTGGATGAGGGGATCAAGTGCACCCTCAGTAACTTTGCAGATGACACTGAGCTGGGTGGGAGTGTTGATCTACATGAGGGTAGGAAGGCTCTGCAGAGGGATCTGGACAGGCTGGATCGATGGGCTAAGGCCAACTGTATGAGGTTTAACAAGACTAAGTGCCGGGTCCTTCACTTGGATCACAACAACCCCATGCAACACTACAGGCTTGG